GTGTGCCGTTTAAGAAGGTGGTTGATTGCTTGTCGAGGGATGGTTCGTGCGCGGTCCCGCCCCTGTAGGCGTGACATCAGACAATCATATTTGCTATTTAGCTCATTTGCAAAATGTGCAAAATCTACTTTCTCGAACTTGTCCTACACTGTTCATTTAATTCACACAAAATTTGAACAGCAACATCTTGAGACCATGTAGACAAACATAGGATTTGTCCATAGGATTTCGATCAGGCTAATTATTCAGATGCTACAGATCAATTCATTTCTTGAACATGGCCTGTTTGCAATTAATGAGCTATTTCTCATCTACAGAATATCCAGTTCTCACCAAACCTGCTATGTGTAGTTGGTATGACATTCTGATGCGACTCTCTTGTTCATTGCCAGATGTCCCAACAAATCATATAATAAAAGTTCATCTGCTCATCAAATGGCTGACAACAGTCTATCAAATTTCAGCAGGCTACAATATTATGGCGCTAAATCAGGGTCAATAGTTTTGTTATTTTTAAAAAGAAAATTGAAAGCTGATACTGAAGGCATCAATGGAAGTCCTCAGCCCTTGTTATGCTGTCACTCATTATTCCAGGTCCCTCTCAGCTGATACCATGCCCCTACACAAATGCCAGAAGTCGGAAACTGAAAAAATATGATCTGAAAGTGAAAAAAGAGATCACAATATGGAAAAAATCTGAAATTGACAAAATAAGATTTGAAACTGTAAAAAAGATCTGAATCTGAAAACGAAAAATTTGCAACCGAAAAAATAAGTCAAATATCAAAATATGTATGAAAGTGAAAAAAGAATATTTAATATTTAATTTTTATTTTTAAAATATTCCGAACTGAATCAAAATTATATATAAACTGAAAAAAACTTTCAAACACTCTTTTAGTACATCAAAACTTCTTCGTCTCAAATTAACAAAACTATTGGCCCTGATTAAGCACCATATAATTACCCTCATATATATATGGCAGGTGTGAGATCAGGAAAAGAGTGAAGTGACAAATCTGTAGGTATTTAAAGAAATGATTATGTGGGAGATTATCAGAACTATCAAAGATGTTGTTGATGTATAAAACCTTAATAAACAGCAGACCATCCAAACCCCATTGTCTACAGGATGAGTCAAATAAAGAAGGGGGAATAGGTGGTTTATATTATTTAGACCGAGAACTGAAGCTGATGAGAATTTATTGTGGCAGCGAAACTGATTAAATATTTTCAGGGTGGGGAGTACAGTGGGATAGGATGTAAATTGAGAAGGTTTCAATGGCAGGGAGGTACAGTATATACTAAAGCTGGGACAGGGGTGGAAAGACAGTGCTTCAAGCAGGCAATAATTTGGGGGAGCCAAAACAGAACAGAACCTTCTGGATACTTAATGCCCAGTAATAATAAATAAAGCTAAGAAGGTCCAATCCTCCTACCTCACAACCTTTATGGAAAATGTATTTATTAACACCTGGGACTTTGTTTTCCCAAATGAAGGTTATAGACTGGTTGACTGGATTAAAAAACAACTTAGATTGTAAGACTGGTAGACACTGGAGCAAATAAAGAAATATGGGAAGGATATTCATGTACACTGATTGTATCCTCCCAGTTATAGTACGGGGTAGACTAAGCTATCTCTCAAAATTAGCCTTCATTCAACTTACAGATAGTTAGCTGCAAACAGAGATGTGAAAAAGCGGATGATGTGTATCGCTTGGTATCTGAACCCATCTGGAGACAGAGGAAAAGGTAATGAGTCCTGAAGGATCTGTTGGGCTAAATCATTCATGGAGACGCATTCGCTTTTTTGTTGCAAATCGGCCAATAACACAATTGCATGAGCCCTACCCAGAGAGCACACATATGTTGAAATGACATTGATCCCATATCAGACAAAAAGGTTTAAACAACGTTGATCTTCAGTGTTTCACTTTATATCAACACTGAATCAAGGTTTCGCCACCATCAATTTCACAATATTGAAAATCTGACCAAAAATCAATTCAGTTTCAACATTGATAATTTAACACTGAGCATAATTCAACACATTTAACTATAATTCAGCGTTGAAAGAATAACATGGTGCTATCTGGGTAGGTATAGGGTTGCTAACATAGAGCAGGAGGTCATTGTCATATAGAGATACACAGGGCACCTCTCCTAAAGTCTTGGAACAGCACGGTTGACCTAAGCGCAATAGAAAGAGGCTCAACTGCAAAAAGAAGCAGGAAGGATGGGCAGCCTTGGCGAGTGACGCGTGTTAAAGGGAAATAATCAGATTGAGAATAATTTGCCTGTATGCATGCTAAATGTGAATGATATAATAGCTTAACCCAGGCAACAAATGTACTGCCGAATCCAAATTTCTCCAAGACACTGAACAGGTAAATCCAATCTACTCAAACACTTCCTCCGCATCCAAAGAGAACATCTGGGAGCTTAAACCACATCTGCCAATTGTTAGGTATTAGAATGAGCAGGACAATATTTGATGAAACCCCTTTGGTTCTCTGAGAGGGAAGGGATGCTATAAATGGCATACTAGAACTTTAGCCAACATTATTACATCCACATTCAGGAGTGAAATAAGGTGGAACCACATGGAACCCAAGACTGGATTGCAGACCCTAATGTAATACCTGTACTATTCATTTTTGGTCTAAGTGCATACACTTTGTGCGAATATCTTATGTAAAGACTTAAAACTTACTTTAAATATATTAATGTTTAGTTCTTCAAGTTAAAGGGCTTGTGATCAAATCCAAGCTTAAGTTACAGTTAATATGCAAGTTGTGTTCTCACGAAGGATCTCTGTACTTAAAGAAAGAGAGAAAAGTTGTTTAAAGTCTTTATTATGCTCTAGGTTGCTTCACAAACAATAGATATAAAGCATATAAAAAATGTAAACAAGAGCCTTAACAAAGCAACCTGTTCATTGAAAGCACTCAAATGTATTTTTACTCATGCAATGTCGTCTGGCTACAATGTCTTGAAAACATGACTCATGAATCCATCAATAGCTATTATTATCCTACTATTCAAACTGCCTTTTAAAACTGTGAAATGTAAACATGGATGAGTATGGGCTAAATTGGTAAAAACCAACCAATGTAAACTCATAGCACATGCACAGGGCTACAAAGTACCTTTTACCAATCACTGCACAACATGTGGACACGTTTATGTCAGAGTACAGCAAACTGCAACAGCATTTTTGTCTAAGAACGTCATATTCTCACCCTCAAATGGCTGAACCACATTGACTGTTTTTTTTAAAGCAGTTTTTTGTTTTTGCTGCGTACAAGACCTTCTTACTGCAGCTACCCAATTCTTGTCATCTTATCACCTCCTTACCTTGCCTCCCATCATATTTTTTCCATGTATGAATGGCGAAAAAGCATATTCCATTGTCCAGTCGTCTCCCTGAACGATGGCGTGATGCAGCAGTACTGACTTATCAAGGCAAAATTTTTCAGAATCATGGCAAAAAATCTAAACACACCCGCCAACTTTCCAACAGAAAAAAATGATGTCAACATCACACTATTTAGACAATAAACAATTAAACAGAATAAGTATGAGATACGCAGCAGAGAGGAGTAAACAGAAGGTATGTATTAAATATGGTGTTTTCTGCCCATGTGCTGAAATTTGACATAGGAATAATACAGAAAACATACATCCACGTATCGGAGTTCTTTCATCCATTTTCTAAAACCTATTAAGGGTTGCAGGAGATCCAGAGCCTACTGTATATCAGAGGTTATGAGTGCAAGGCAGGGAACAACCCAGGATGGGGTGTCAATGAATCGCAGGGCACACTCTCTCTCTCTCACACACACACACATGCACGCACACACACCTATAGACAATCTGGGAACGCCATTAGGCCTCAGCATGGTTTGGACCAAGGGGGGAAACCAGAGCACCCGGACTAAACCTCACGACGACATGGGGAGAAACACCACACACAGGCAGACATGGCAGAGACACGAAGCCAGGTCCCAGAAGTGTGAGGTGCCTGTGCTAACCAACGGCCCTTCTCTGAGTTCTTAATACTTCTATATTAAGAACCCAGATATTCATCACACATGGCATACCACAAATGCCACTGCTGAAGCTACAGATGATGTTAATTGACCTAGACAATCCTTTGCAAGAAATGAGATCCCACTTCAGTACTGGAAGAAACAGCGTATGGCAGCCTGTACCAGCCGACAATTCAGTGTTTTCCAGCATCCTCCGTCCCACGTGAGAGAGCCGAGGATGTCGTGTTTAAGTGCAGGCACCTCTGATTCTAAATGCAGCAGTGCTCTCAGCCCCCGGCCGCACCAGCATTTTACCCGTCTGAATCCCACACTGGTGTTGTCCCTCCATATTTACATCATGAAAGGTTATTAAAACAAGATAACTCAATTATTACTTGGTACTATTCACCAATTTCCAAACATGTTAAATAATATTTTTATGACATTTAACGACCAGTACTGGTCCTAGCCGATACAGCGCCCTAGGCGAGCGGCACCGCCAGCGCCCCCTGTCGGAGGCAAACTGAAACTAGTTTTTAGTCAGTGTCACCTCAGATGTTGGTGCCCTAGGCGGCTGCCTATGTCGCTAACAGGATTCACTGGCTCTGCTAGCAACACTAATATCTCACTGGATAGATGCATAGGTAGACATTTAAACATAAGGTATAATGTAACATAAATATGGGAATAATTACAACACTAAAATCAGTCGAGTGAGAATACTGAAAGTTTAAAAGTACATTACACTTTGAAATCAGAGGTTATAGGTTAATAACTTCACTCTGTGCTGATGGACGCTGCAGCAGTGGCTGTTTCATATGCAGTGACAGACTGCAGCACAAGTTCCAGCCTCTCTGACCGACTACGGAGCCTCAAACTGCGCACTGGAGGAAATCCCTCTGCTGAAAGGGAAAACGGTGTCTGCAGGACCAAACTGTAGCTCCTGTTTTTGTTCGGTTAGCCCTTGCAGTTCTTACTGTTTCACATTCTCCACTGTAGATATAAGTCCCGTCACCAATCCATCCTTTAATCTGTCCTCATGCTTCTGCTCATATCCTTTACCCTTTAGAGTGAAATTTTCATGTGAAAAGATGAGACAAGACAGTCTAGTGTGAACTGTTGCTTCTTCTGCTACATCACTTCACAAGAAGTCATACTGTCCGCACTATAAAAGCAGAATGTATTTAAGTACTCGTGTCTTGATAGTGTCAGTTTATTAAAGGTCTCACCTGCTGCACGCCTTTTTTTGAAGACGAAGATTGCTAAAACCATGAGAACCAATGCAATGCATAAGAACCCAGGGATTATTCCATAAAGATGAGCCCTTGCCGGAGCTGTAAGGAAAGAGACACACTTAGGTCTGCACGCCGCGTGAGAGTGTAGCGCCCAGCACCAGAGGAGGCGGAGATGACGCCGTGACGCTTGGGTAGGGGCAGCATCACAGAATGTGGCGGGGGGGGGGCAGTTCTTACCCCAGCTGACAGTGATGTTCTCAGGCACACTGCTGTGGGTCACCTGGCAGCTGTAGCTTTGGGCTCCCTGACCTTCTGGCACCGTCAGAATCTTCCTCAGCTGGTAGGTTCCATCGCCATTGGGCAGAACCTCCCCACTGATCACACCCTCGGTCAGGGGGAGCTCGTCTGCCCCCAACCACTCAACATGCACCTCCCGTGGGTAGAAGCCAGTCACATGACATGTGACTTCAATGGCAGATGCCACAGGTTTCCTGTCAATTAGCTTCACCTCTGGAACTGCAAAAAAAAACAAATTCCTAAATGAGAACCTTTAAAAAAACATGACAAACACAACCAACAATTTCCAAATATGAATGATGTAAAACATATTTTAAATGTTAAACATTACAACTCTTAAAACTAACCAGAGAGCATAAATAATAATTAATATTTGTAAGGAAAGTTAAATCAAAATTAAGTATAAAGAAATATACTGCTTTACCTTTTGTTTTCCGTACACTTATACTATACTCCAAAAGCTTCTTCAGCCAGTTTATGCAACCAGACTCATAGTGAGCAATGAGACGATGTAAATCTTGTATGTCCGATTCCCGTCTTTGTTTGTAGAAGACGGCCTGTGGGACGACTGCGACCCAGGATTTCCTCTCGACATCGAAGCTGACAAAATCCGTGCCGTCATATGCATGGCTCATGAAAGACCTGCTAGTTCCATCTGGGTTCAATTCACAGTGACCATGAGCCTGATATGTGTGATCTTCAAACAGGAGAAACCAAAATTGAGTGAGGAACATATCAGGAAGCCGCAACTTTAACTGATCATGCCATATTACATATATCCATCCATCTTCTAACCCACTTACCCCACTGGGTTCGGGGGGGTCCACAGGAAACCCCACAACGACATGGGGAGAACATGCAAACTCCACACACATGTAACCCAGGCAGAGACTTGAACCCAGGTCCCAGAGGTGTGAGGCAACAGTTCTAACCACAGCACCACCACATACATATATATGTATGTGTGTGTATATACATATATATACATACATACATATATATACATATATACATATATATATATACACATACATACATACATACATACATATATATATGTATGTATGTATGTAAAAAATACATACATACATACACACACACATACACACACACACACAATTGATTAAATGATCATCAGCACGTGTGACCTCTATAAAAGCAGGAGTTTTGGCAGTTTGCTGGTCTGGAGCATTCACGTGTATGTTAACACAATGCCAAGGAGGAAAGACATCAGCAATGATCTTAGAGAAGCAATTGTTGCTGCCCATCAATCTGGGAAGGGTTATAAGGCCATTTACAAACAACTGGAAGTCCATCATTCTCCAGTGAGAAAGATCATTCACAAGTGGAAAACATTCTAGACCACAGGTGTCAGACTCCAGTCCTGGGGGGCCGGAGCCCTGCTCATTTTTGGGTTTCCCCTCGTTTAACACACCTGATTCAACCCCTTGTGCTAATTACCACACAGCTCTTCAGCTGAATCATTTGTGGTGGAACAGGGAAAGAACTAAGCTACACAGGACTCCGGCCCCCCAGGACTGCAGTTTGACACCCCTGTAATCTAGACAGTTGCCAATCTTCCCAGGAGGGGACGTCTCAGCAAATTCACTCCAAAGTCAGACCGTGCAATGCTCAGAGAAATTTTAAAAAAACCAAGAGCTACATCTCAGACTGTACAGGCCTCAGTTAGCATGTTAAGTGTTAAAGTTCATGACAGTACAATTATAGACTAAACAAGTATGGCTTGTTTGGAACGGTTGCCAGGAGAAAACCTCTCCTCTCTAAAAAGAACATGGCAACATGGCTTAGTTTTGCAAAGTTTCATCAGAACAAACCACAAGACTTCTGGAACAATATCCTTTGGATAGGTGAGACCAAAGTGGAGATGTTTGGCCGTAATGCACAGTGCCATGTTTGGCAAAAACCAAACACAGCATATCAGCACAAACACCTCATACTAACTGTCAAACACAATGGTGGAGGGGTGATGATTCGGGCTTGTTTTTGCAGCCACAGGACCAGGGCACCTTGCAGTCACTGAGTCGACCATGAACTCCTCTGTATACCAAAGTAACAGAGAGTCAAATGTGAGGCCATCTGTCTGACAGCTAAAGCTTGGTTCAAATTGGGTCATGCAGCAGGACAATAATCCCAAGCACACCAGCAAATCTACAACAAGACGGCTAAAAAAGAAAAGAGGTGTTGCAATGGCCCAGTCAAAGTTCAGCCCTCAATCTAATTGAAATGCTGCGGTGGGACCTTAAGAGAGTTGTGTGTAAACGAATGCCTACAAACCTCAATGAACTAAAGCAATGTTGTAAAGAAGAATGGGCCAAAATTCCTCCACAACAATGTAAGACTGATAGTTATGCAGAAAATGATCGCTTCAAGTTATTGCTGCTAAAGGTGGTTCTAAAAGCTATTGAATCATAAGGTGTACTTAGTTTTTCACACATTACTTCTTCATTTTGGATTCATTTTTGTTAAATAATGACACAGTGTAATCTGTTGTGTGAAGAACTGAAAGAGGGTATAATACACACACACACACACACACACACACACACACACACAATAACAATGAATACAGTTCAATCTGCATAGAGCTGAGAGCACACCTACCGTCTGAATGGTTGAAATGCTCTGCAGTCAGTCTGACTGCAGTGTCCATCACATGTCTGTTGAACTTAAGATTCAGGCTGACTTGCTTCCACAATTCCAAGCCCTCTGTATGGTTCAGCCATGCCGGCACTGTTGGATCTTCGCTAGAACCACTTTTATAGTAGTAAACAGTGATGTCATCCACCATTAGAAACTGGATGTTCTTCAAAAAGCAAGTTCCCTGTGTTGCTATGCAATGCCGATGGAGGGAGTGGACCGCTGCTGCAAAGTGTATATAGTGGTGTTATACACACACACAGAAATTTGGGCCCACCCTTTTTAAAATGAATGATACACTGCTTTTTCAGACTCTTATTACAAGAAAATGTTTTGAAGTGTAATGTAAGACATTACTGTGCATTTTAAGTGCATTTTAATGAACGCGAGTGCCTAAGTATCAGTTTCATCAAAAGAACAACCTCTTCATCACAGCAGCACAGATTCACTGCATCCTTTCCAGCAATTTCTGTAAATAACTTGTGTCCAAACCCTCCTTGCACATTTAAAAACAGTTCTGTCTCATTTGCTAGATACTCATTTTGAACTTGTTGGTCCAATTCATCCCATGTATGGACTTTCGTCCATCCACAAAACCTGCTCCCAGTCCTGAATACTCCAGTGTTAGTGTTGTTTAGCCTGTAGTAGTCTCTTTTCTTGTTAACATCATGAAGTAAAGGTTTTCTGGCAGAAACTCGACCATACAGTCCAGCTGCTCTCAATCTTTGCTTTTAAGAACTATTGAGAGATATCGGTTTCCCCCTGTTCACAGTAGACAACCCTCAGACCATTACAGTTATCTTACAATTTCTTCTGCATGTCACAACTATTGGTTGATCTTCAGCCTTTGATGTCACTTTCCTTGTCCCAGTTTCCAGTCACTGTTGCTTCTTGTCAGTCTTTTTCTCTGTAAACAGCAGGTCACTCCGTGCTTAGAAACATTTAACTTTCTGGCTATTTGACAGAGGACTCAAATCGAAATTTTGAGTAAAGAGGGGCTCTCTCCTCTTTACTCAAAATTTCGATTTGAGTCCTCTGTTCAATCGTTAGTTGTGCCTTTCTAGCCATAACATAAAATAAAAGCAACATGGGGTGGCATGGTGGTGCAGTGGTTAGCACTGTTGCTTCGCACCTCTGGGACCTGGGTTCGAGTCTCCGCCTGGGTCACATGTGTGTGGAGTTTGCATGTTCTCCCCGTGTCGTGGTGGGGTTTCCTCTGGTTTCCCCCCACAGTCCAAAGACATGCTGAGGCTAATTGGCATTAGAAAATTGCCCTTAGGTGTGCATGTGTGAGTGAATGGTGTGTGAGTGTGCCCTGTGATGGGCTGGCCCCCCATCCAGGGTTGTTCCCTGCCTCATGCCCATTGCTTCCAGGATAGGCTCCGGACCCCCCATGACCCAGTAGGATAAGCAGGTTGGGCAATGGATGGATAAAAGCAACATTTATCAAAAATTCTGACACTTCACCATTTCTCCCAAACTGTACTAAGTTACAGGACTTAATCTCACTTAAACAAGTCTCAAAATAAAAGTCCTCTGTGACTGAAAATAAGTACAAATAATTAACTGAAAATGACCCAACTTTATGACATATTTTACTTTACCAAGAGAAGGTGCAAGGGATTTAAATAACAAACCAAATGTCAGTCACATATTTTCCAGTATGTTTAAATTCCCCATGTAACACGACACTGACCATTTTCTCTTTTTTATTCGTCTGAAAATAAAAAGTCCTTAGGCTACAAACCTCCAAATAAAACTGAAATATACTATACTCTTCCAAATAATAATAGGTGCAGAGTAATAGTATTAATACCAGTATCACACGTCGTGCACATACAGTTCTTACATCGCTAGTAAACTAGATTAAGATTGGGTTTTTTCTTACCTTCATATTGTACGGTTATTATAGCACAGGGGATTAAAGTTTCGCTAAACTTCCTTAATTATAGGCAGCGTAAAGACGCGCATATTGCTTTACGGATAATCACGTGACCGACACAGTTAACGTGTCATTCACGCAGCTGCGGTGTCTGTACTCCATATACTGTAGGCCTAAGAAAAACATGGAAGGGCATGTCGGACTTTTTCAGAGCGGTGACAAAGTTAACATATGAACTTGATTACAAACAAAATGGAATACTAATCTATATAAGATTTATTTATCAATAATGTGGAAAAAAGTGTGAAATTATCAAAGTTTCCATGTTTATTCCAGGTCATAACAATTCAACTATCATCACAAACGTAAGAGTACGAGTTATGAAAACCAACATATAAACACATAAAAACGTGTGCTGTGTTGACAAGCCGAGTTCCAACATCCATCATTGCAATGAAATTTGCAGTCATACTGTGTCATTTCGCGTTTGTGTATACGTCCTAGGAAAAAATAACATTACATAATAAAGTGTTACGAAAGAGTATTGTGTCGAAGTTATGAATATCAATATTCTCTGGGACATATCTTCATACAGTACGTGCACAAACATCCCATGATTAAGAGATTATACGCAGACCTTACTCGGCGTTTTGTGAAGTATTTGACTACTTAATTCTTTGCGTGATCATAACGATCGAATTACACCAGTGATGGGGAAACAGGTGTTGTGCCGAATTCTGCACCCCTGTCGTGAAAATTCGGCACAACACTTAACCCTGGCCGATCGATCAGTGCATCTCTACTCATCAGATGCAATCTGAATACAGTACATCAGCAGATCGAAATGATGAGCAGACAGCGCATTAAACCTCTCATATACTGACTGAGAAAAGGCAG